CTGCTGGGGGCTGGGGTGTATGTACAGCTGCGCCGGTGGGCAGACCTGTTTCTTATAGCGCCTTTGAGCGCCAACAGCCTCGCCAAAATATCTTCTGGCCTTTGCGATGACCTCTTGGTGCGCTGCTGCTGCTGCTGCTGCTGCTGCTGTTGCTGTGAAGTTGCTTCTGTGAAGTTGCTGCTACGTGGAGACTGATGCTGATGCTGCTGCAGCTGCCTAGTTGCTACCGCTGCTGCGGAAGTGCTGCTACAGCTGCTGCTGCTCAACTGCTGCTGCTGCTTAAGTGCTGCTGCCGCTGCCCAGCTGCTGCTGCTGCTGCCGCTGCTGCTGCTGCTGCTGCTGCTGCTGCTGCTGCATGTGCCTGTACTTTGCAGCTGCGTGTGTGTGTCTGCTGCTGCAGAGCTGCGTGGCGCGGGCCTGGAGCTACAGCAGCAAACCACTTGTTGCTGCTCCAGCAATGAACACCGAAATGTGGCAGCACCCAATCACCAGCCAGCAGCTGCAGCAGCTGCAGCACTTCGGAGCCAAAGTGCGCTGCTGCTGCTGCCGCTGCTGCTGCTGCTGCTATTGCTGGCGCCGCTTGGAACGGCGCTGCTGCTGCTGCTGCTGCTGCTGCTGCTGGAAGCGGGTTGGTGCTGCTGCTGCTTGCTTCTCAGCAAACTAACTGCCCAGCGATTCGTCTTGAACTTCACGCGGCCCTCAAGTGCTGCTGCTGCTGTGCTGCTGCTGCTGTGCTGCTGCTGCTGTGCTGCTGCTGCTGCAGATTGTTCCCCCCGTGGCGAAGCGGCTCATCTGCGGCGACACGGGTAAGTTTTGCTGCCTCTGTTATTCTTCATTTTTATTTTATTTTTATTTAATTGCAACTTTGCTGCTGCTGGTTGTCTCTTTTCATTTCCTTCGTTTGCTGCTTCTTGTTGCTGCTGCTGCTGCTGTTGCTGCTGCTGCTGCAGGCGTTGGCGCAATGGCGGAGCCCCACACAATCGCTTGTGAGGCTCTTGAGGCTTGGTGTCTCTTCTACCGCACAGGCAAGCTGCTGCAGCAGCAGCAGCAGCAGCAGCAACAGGAACAGCAGCAGCAACTGCAGATACACGAGGAGCAGCAGCTCCAGCACCACCAACAGCACCTGAAGCACCAACGGCAACAGCAACTACAGCAACAGCAGCAGCAGCAAGAGCAGCTGCAACAGCAGCAGCAGCAAGATTCGCACGAGCTGCAGGAACAGCTGGAGCAGCGGCAGCGGCAGCGACACAGATTTGCTGCTGCCCTCGAGAAGCACCACTTTGCTGCTGCTGCTGCTCACCCCGAGCAGCAGCAGCAGCAGCGGCAGGCTGCGACTGTGTCTCCTATGCAGCAGCAGCGCTTCGCAGCCGTTGAAGTAGAGCAGCAGCACTTTGCTCCTGCTGCGGCTGCCAGTGCCGCCCTTGCTACTGCCGCTGCCGCTGAGCCTGCAGAACAGCAGCAGCAGCAGCAGCAGCGCGAGCCCTCATAGGGTTTGTGGCCCACAAAGGCCTTCAGCAATTAACCGTGCTGCAGCACTTAAGGCTTCACTTTTTCAGCCAGCCTTTCCACTCTTTCTGTCTTAGGGTTTAGGGGCCCCTCGGGGGCCCCCACACTTTCTAGGGTTTGAGGGCCCCCACTGTTTCTGGGGTTTGGGGGCCCCCACTCTTTCTAGGGTTTGGGGGCCCCTCCATATTTAGGGTTTGGGGATCCCCAGTCTATCTAGGGTTTATGGGGCTCCCTCAGCACCTTAGTTGAGGTTTGGGTTTAACAAACAAAAGAATAGCTGCAGCACAAGCTGCAGACGCTGCTGCTGCTGTTGTTGCTGCTGTTGCTGCTGCTGGCGC